CATTTTTGATTCCATAACGTATAAAAAAATTCACAAAATCGGTCAAAAACGCACTACTTTACAGGTGTATATGAATTAGTCTATATGTGAAAAAATGAAAATCCATTCGATAAGATGCATCGATTGCACCTTTGACTACCCAGGAAAAAAAATTGAGCCTCTAGCATGATCCATAACCATAGGGGAACTTGGGAGTGGTACCTCGTTTATTGGCGGAGGCGCTGCGGAATATGCCCTCTTAATCACTTGAAATTGGAAGAATGTGAATACAGATGATATATTTTTCAAAAATAGTACAGTTGTGATGGGAAATATTTGAAACAAAAATTATTATAAACACAGAAAATGGCAATATGATTACTAACGAGTGTTTTCTGTCCTTATAATACATTTTCCTTTTATTATTTCCTATCACAACTGTATTTTTGGAAAATTCTATCATTATAATCTAAGTCATGGAAACCATCCATTCTCAAAGTGGCCCAGTATTTTTCAAATGGAGAAAAAACAAAAACTCAAAGTCGGTCGACCACAAAATTTAATAAAAGGAGTGACTATAGTTTCGGCTCAACGGCCATCTTCAGACACAATGTAAAAAAAAAAAAAAAAAAAAAAAAAACATAGTTTTATTGAATTGTATAACTTTTAGCGTCAATAATGTCAATTTTTGAATTTGAAACTCATCTTTCATATGTTTGACTGTCATTCAAAATGTTTTACGCTGACTTTGAAATTGTCATTTTGTGCTGTCAATGTCAAATCATCACTTCCATTTCACCTACGGCGTTGTCTTTCCTTTGATGGCCTGACCGCTGATGAAGCTCCGTTGAGTTGATTAATTAATCAAAATTTTTTGAATTTTTTAATGTTGAACTTACTCATCGTAATGTTCTTTTGGCTTTTCAGCCGTTTTAAATTTTACTAGTTCCAATTTGGACGGATGATTCGATGCTGACCTACTAGTTAGTTTTAAATTAGTATACTTTTCTCCATAAGGTATGTTCTTTCGCAGCCACCATATTGTCTAGATTTAACAACTTATAATTTTCTAGGTACTTTTTTACATTGTGTCTGAAGATGGCCGTTGAGCCGAAACTATAGTCACTCCTTTTATTAAATTTTGTGGTCGACCGACTTTGAGTTTTTGTTTATTCTCCATTTCATTATAATCTGTTGATTGTTGCTGAAAGAATACGAATGAGAATTACATGAAAAAATTCACATGCATTTTAGGTATTGAATGCATATTTGTCCCTTTTAAAAACATTCAAATTTGCTCAAATTCAAAAAATCGATACACCATTCAAAAGTTATTAAAAAGTTGAAAATTTTAGCGTTTGAATCATGTACATAACTTATTTGGGAGGAAAATAGTTGATTAATACTAGATGATTTTCATTTGATTGTGCCAAAACGGCTGTGTCAGTATTATATACCTTAGATAGATATACTTGAAGACTGTTGAAGAATATAAATTTCCATGACTCCGAAATGAAATTTTTGATAGGATTACGTCACAAATCACCACTTCCCCTCACCGTTTTTCTAAAAAGTTTGACACCCTGTATCTTTGAAACTATGCATTTCCAGACCGAGTTCCAGACTCATGTTTACAAGAACTTTTCGTCTTAGAACCACCCAAATAATCGTCCCTTGGAGTTTGGCCACATACTTGAATAACACCCTGTACATGTAAAGTAAGGGCAATCCAGCCTATCCAGGCGTTCGGTATAGAGTTATTTCCGTAACTATAACCGTTTTAACTGTTTCCATGGCATCCAGATATTGTCCAGGATCGTTCGTTCGGTCCGTTTCAGGAGATACAATTAACAATAGCAGATGTAACCATCCAACGATGAATTGGATGGAATATACCCGGAAGTCCTGTATTCATGCTCGACATATTATTGGACGACTTTCGATTTGAACATTTTTTGCTTCACTTATTGCAGTTTTCGGTCACGTTTTTATGCTGTATACCGGATGTCGACGTAACAATTAGACAATACATGGTGTCTATAGAGTTCTGAAGAATTCTGGAGGCTATATGCCTCGGGGAACACCTTCCTTGGCAATGTGTTTCAGAACCTCGCTGTTCGTTGGATGAACTAGTATTTGGAAAGAGATGTTCTGCAGGTCTCCAATGTGACCACGAAGGGGTGCGAAGCCTCAACTCGACGGGTTAATCTCGCGGAGACTGCCAAGGGAGGAACAATTGTTGATATTTCAGGAGAGTATCGTCCATGAAAATATATATAAAATAGAGCCAGATCGCCAACTTCTCTACGGTGTTCTAGAGAAGTGAGTGAGTTTGTGAGCGAGGCATCACCCACGAGACGAATCGCCCTTTTTTGGACAGAATCCAACAGTTTCAGGGTATGTTTGGGTGCTGCACTCCAAATATGGGAACAGTATTCCAGGATAGGTCGGATCTGTGCCTTATCAGATCATATGCAGCTGACTGGAAGTGGAATAGCTCCTGGCCCGAAACAGAAAACCAAGTTTTTGGGATGCACTTTTAGCAATTGATCTAACGTAATTTTCCCAAGAAAGGTTATTGCTGATAGTAATACCAAGCATCGAAATGGATGTCTTCAAAGGTATGGTTACTCCTGACAAGCTTATGTTGTTTTACCGATGAATCCAGAGTGGAATTTCCAGCAAATAGATGCGCAAAAATGTTGGCTTTCTCCTTGATGAAGTTCCAGTGGCAGTATATGAACCTTTTTTATCTTACTGTGCTCAATATAACAACTGAAACCAAACAATGTTTCTGAAAATATCATATGGGAAGTATTTTTTGTGTCCATATTCAGGTTCCAGAAATGTCCTACACCCTGATGTATCTAATCATTTCGTTTTTCGATTTTAGTAAACTACCGTATATCTACATCCCCTCGTGATATATTAACGTTATATTCTTGATGAATATTTGCTGTATGGATATATCCATACTGAAATACTGAAATTAGCTTTGAAGCAAAAGTGGAAACTTCTCTAGAAACTCCAATTTCTATCTTTTTTATTTGCGCCGCAACTCCCGACTTGTTACCAGACAAATCGAAATATCGGGGCAGGAATATTATATCTGGGGTTATTTGGAGATTTCTCTCGAGACGCAGAGCGGTTGTATGTTAGCCCGTCGACCCCTCTTCTCCCCTCGAAGCGGTCCGATTTTCCCTTGGGACACACCTGTACTCGGAGTTATGAAATTCCTTGAACCCTAGCTGGAATATCAACGTTCGACGTGTCAGATTTTCAGATTTATAGGTGGTGATAAAATGTAATGGGTGGGGTGGGTGACCACGATGTTATAAGCCACCCCGATGTCATTTCTTTCTTTCAGGTATGCCGATTTTCAGTAAATACCAAAACATCTGATTGCTACTTTCGGTTAGACCACCCTGTACATTTTTCAGAAATTTCATCTTAATTCTCGATCATTCATAGTAGGTATAAAATAAATGTATGACATCAAACAGTAAAGGTGGATTTATGCACAACGCATTTTCACTATAATCTGTTGCTTTCATCAACTGCCATTAAGTTCATTTTTATTTAAGGACTATGATACCTTTATGCACCACCTTCTTTTAATTTTAAACTCTTCTTCTTGATCAAAACATAGTCCTCAGCGTACTTAGCCCGATGAAAATATTTTTGTTATAACATTCAGTGATCACATAATTACAATAAGAATCATTCATATTGTTTTCAAAGTCTAATTTGAACATACGACTAGAATTTTCAGAATTTCCAACCAGCTGCTTATGATCTATAAGGCACAGATCCGACCTGTCCTGGAATACTGTTTCCATATTTGGAGTGCAGCACCTAAACATACCCTAAAACTGTTGGATTCCGTCCAAAAAAGGGCAATTCGTCTCGTGGGTGATGCCTCGCTCACAAACTCACTCACTTCTCTGGAACATCGTAGAAAAGTTGGCGATCAGGCTCTATTTCATAGATATTTTCATGGGCGATGCTCTTCTGAAATATCAACAATTGTTCACACCTTGGCAATCCCTGCGAGATTAACCCGTCGAGTTGAGGCCTCGCACCCCTTCGTGGTCACTGTGGACACCTGCAGAACATCTCTTTCCAAAGACTCGTTCACCAACGAACAGCGAGGCTCTGGAACACATTGCCAAGGGAGGTGTTCCCCGAGGCATATAGCCTCCAGAAATTTAAGAAGAACACCAATTCCTACCTTATTTTCCTTGGTTCTCACGATGGACTCTGAACATCACAGGATATCCCTTTTCGTGGGAACCAGAACATAAAAAAAGTGTTCGAGTCACCGTATTCGAGTCCTGTCCGACCTGTCAGTTGTCAACTGTCATATTCGAATTTTGTTGCAATGAGCATTATTCAAACAATTTCTGTTTGTATCAGAATGTAGACGAAAGTGAAATCGAAGGGAATGAATGATTCAGGTAGGTCTTGAATGTTTCCAAGAACTCTTGGTAAAAATGAAACTTATCTTTTTGCATGACAATAAACGTAAAACAAAATATTTATGTGAGCAAAAATATGCAATCAGAATATGGATACAAACCTGAGAAATTGAAAACTTTGAAACACATAAGCGAATCGAAGAGTTTTCAATCTACTACTTCAGATCTTATTCACAAATGTAGTAAAAAAGCCATTTCATTAGAATTGCATCTATCCTATGGACTGGACGCACATCTACAACCAATATAACATACCTATACGTGTCTCGTTGGTTGCATGCAGTTGCAATTCCCATTCCCTTCTAATTATTTTGTAGGTTAGCATCAGGTAGGTCAATCTAATTTTCGGAATTATTGGATCAGGTCGAAGAGAGGAATTATGAGTTCGTAGAAAAAGTATATAGTATGTAACGCGTTTATAAACTCTTCTAAACACTCGTTTATTAAGAACTCGCTCCGCTCTCCTTGGCTCGTGCTAAAATACTCGTTAATAAAATGACGTTTATAACACTTACACACACATAATATACTATTTTTTGTTCCAGATGTTGCTGTGGCCGAACTTTGGAACAACATAAGTACTTGAATGACACGAAACCCCCCTTGCCTGGCGAGCTATGGTATCCGAGCAAGTGCACGATAACGAGCCCGACGGACGCCTATGGGATTCTGGAGTTCCAGGGCGGGCCGCACCCCTCCAAAGCGCAGGTCGGTGGAAAACACGAACCACTAAGGTTCATTCGAGGTTCATTCGGGTTCCGATTTCAGAACTGTTCAAGAATCGTTCTCGAACTGCGTAGAACTAGTGCGCAGTCGTTTCGAATCCTAGGACTGTTTCAGAACGGTTCACAAATTATGAAAACCCGAATACGGCAGAAGAGAACTTCTGAGAACATAATTTCTATTCAGAATTTGCGAAAAAAACAATAGTTTGGAACCTGTATCTTTATTCGAATAATATTCTGAAGCTTCAAACTCTGCTTTGAGTCTTTTCACAATATCTCTGGTAACCTTCTGTGAAGAAATGGCGAATATATTCCATCATAGCATTCGTAGCTAGATTTTCATTATGTTCTGTCCCTTGTACCTACATGAATTTCGACACCCACCTGAAATGTTCAATGAATTGTGTATCTGAATATAATGGCGAAGTCTCCCCAACATATTCCTCCATCTTTCGGTTTATCTAACAAAAGTTCGAGAATTCTTAGATAAGGTACAATATTTTCAGCAACTTCAGCAAGTAACTCCTTCACCACTGCTTCCTGAAGATGAAGAACTACTACTATCAAATGAATGTACTAACTCCATAATATTGAGAAAATATAGAAAAGAGCAATGAACAGTAGAATAAACAAAAATATATCATTATGACGTTACGCTACAACAGACAGAATCGAACAATAAAATAAAATGAGCATTCGCCAAAAATGATCCTAGAACGGTTCATGCTCGAGAGCAGGTTCTGGTTTCGGATAGTTTCAGGACCGTCCCAGGACGATTCTGAAAAAACCCGAAAGCCTATAAAGAGTCAGTCCTAGAAACTCCTGACAGTTCTAGAACAGTAATTGTTCGAACCCGAATGAACCTTCGAAGCGGCGTTGAATAGAGAATCGAAAGGCCTTCAAAACAAGGTACCACGTGACCACTCTTTACATTTGAGACAAAATAGCCTAGTTGACACTAGGTCACGTGACCACAACTCATTCCATACTAAAAGTACATAAAAGAGATACCTTTTCACCTGGATTTCACCCGACCTCGCAAGCTTGTCCCGTTCAAAAGTTGAAGGAGGGGAGGACTTTTTACGTCCTCACTGTATAAATCGTCGAAGGCGCGTAATCACACTCCACAACATACGGTCTTGAAAGTGATAGGTACTTGAATACTCTAAGTCGTAACCGGAAACTGCATAGTGTATAGGGATGTGCAAGGGTTTTAGAAGGTCTAACTCATATCAGTTCACATCTTTACAGGATGATCCATTTTATAATGTACTGATTGATAGATCATCGAGAGAAAATATCGAGCACGTATACAAGGTGTCCCAGAACAACGTAACTTAAATTCTACAGGGTGACATAGAGATCAAAATATAGGCCGATGGAAATCAACTTACCTCTATATGAAAATGCACCGTTGAGTCGTGAGAGGGCGTTGAAGAACAATTTTATTTCCACAGATTGTCTTCAAGATTTCGAAATCCTTTAAAGGTACTGCTCTGAAATTCGTAGGACAATTTACTATAGTGAATGTGCATGGAAAACATGTCGTACCAATTCAATCAATATACAGGGAGTTCGGTATTTCGCATTCTCTTTGATAAAAATTAACTTAATTTTTTTTTAGTACCTAACCTGACCACATTTTGATATTATGATGTGGTTTTTCATAATTTCAGTGAGTAATATCAAAAATGTTCTCAATTCGAACCATGTGAAAGAAATAATCTTCGATATTCCCTGAATATCTATCGCCCACTTGAATATTTTTGAAAAGAAAAGAATCACCTTGTATATTATGTTATGTCCCTAATTAGTGAGATAGTGCCCCATTAGGAAAGGTCACATGGTTTACGATCTGTATATGATTTTCCTAGTTTATTAGAGTAATAAAAACGGTAGGATTTCGCAACATCTGCAAGTAACTGAGCAGACGGTTGAGATTGTCGTTACTGTCTTTATCACACAAAAAGCTAATGGCTTTGTTCTGGAAGCACTATTTCTCTGTTTTGTAAACCTAGCATTATTTTTAGGTACCTATTGTTGTGATATCATTCAGAATGAATAAACCTTATTTCAATATATTCAATACTCGTAATTTTTTTAGTATTTAATATACCATCTTATATTATTGTACATACATGACATGAATAAAATATGTCATGAAAAATAATGACAAACTACCTAGCTCTTATGCACTTACACAAAAGATGAACGCATCTTCAAAAGGTATCCAAAAGTTTGAGATACATATTCGTCAAAACTACTTGTTAGATTTGGACTTTTTTGTTGTTTTAAATAATCTCCTTTTGAATAATGGCGTGCAAACTGTGTTCGCATAAAAAACTCTTTTTTATTAATACCGCAATTAATTATAGTGTGCCTTTTTTAATACCCTGTAGAGTTTACCAGTTAAATTATCAAGTTAGAATTGAGATTACACTTTAGCCTTATCTTTTTTCAACATTCCTTTTTTGGATTTGCTCTAAAATCTTTTCTATTACTCTAGGAACACAATTCGATTGCATAACATGATTTTATTAAATTAAATTTGCATTATAAGAACGTAAGTTGACGTAAATAGCAGGCTATAGTCCTGGGAAGGCATTTCTTTGACTGGTCGCATGGAACTTGTGATCATAAATGAAAGCCATACAGCTAAATGGTATACAGTGTGTCCCACTTACCATGCTCACCATGGGTATCTTTTTAACGGTAAGAGATACGAGGTCGGTTAAATGACACCAAATGTGGAGTTTGTCAAGGCCAAGTATAATTTGAAAAAATATTTTGATAAAATCTATTCGTTTTTGTTTTATACGCAAAAAACAGATTTTGATCATTTTCATGTCTCTTCCGTAACTTCTTTATTTATGAAAATATTCAAATAGGAATTTCACATTCTCATGGCAGTTTTTCAAAGTGATTTCGAAAAAAATATGAAATCAATACCAACTCTTCTAGAATTTGAGATATCAGCACCAACTTTAGTTTTTCAAATGTAGGTCACAGCTCACTATGCCTTAGTTACAAATAACTTTTTTTTCTCTCACAGATGATATGTCGCAGTAATAGTTTTGTGTTGATAACAACGGAGTTATCGTCATTTATACAAAAACAAAAAATTATTCGGAAGCCGCCATCTTGAATTTATAAATTTTAACGAAAAAATCATGATCTCCGACCTCAAAAACCCCCACTTACCAATTTTGAATGGAATCGGACCAAATATTGTCCGCCATCTTGGAGCAGCCATTTTTTTTAATTTCAACAAAAATTCCATAACTCCGATAAACTTGAAATTTGGCAGGTGTTCATAATTTCGGTGACAATACATTATGGAATTTTTGTTGAAATTAAAAAAAAATGGCTGCTCCAAGATGGCGGACAAGATTTGGTCCGATTCCATTCAAAATTGGTAAGTGGGGGTTTTTGAGGTCGGAGATCATGATTTTTTTGTTAAAATTTTTAAATTCAAGATGGCGGCTTCCAAATGATTTTTTGTTTTTGTATAAATGACGATAACTCCGTTGTTATCAACACAAAACTATTACTGCGACATATCATCTGTGAGAGAAAAAAAAGTTATTTGTAACTAAGTCATAGTGAGCTATGACCTACATTTGAAAAACTAAAGTTGGTGCTGATATCTCAAATTCTAGAAGAGTTGGTATAAATTTCATATTTTTTTCGAAATCACTTCGAAAAACTGCCATGAGAATGAGAAATTCCTATTTGAATATTTTCATAAATAAAGAAGTTACGGAGGAGAAATGAAAATGATCAAAATCTGTTTTTCGCGTATAAAACAAAAAACGAATAGATTTTATCAAAATATTTCTTCACATTATAGTTGCCCTTGACAAACTCCACATTTGGTGTCATTTAACCGACCTCGTATCTCTCACCGTTGAAAAGATACCCATGGTGAGCATGGTAAGTGGGACACACTGTATATCAGGAGGGGTGAAAAAACTTACAGTCACAACTTCACCACATAAACAATTTAATAATTACCAACGGTCATGGACATAAGGACATGTTTCGAAGGATTAATCCTCTAAGACTATATCGAATTGAGTTTGTCTTGAATTATTCAACTCCTTATTATTTTAACTACAATTCTGTTTTGTGTAAATAGTAATCATATTAATTCACACTAAAGGAAATGAGCTCTATATTTCAACAATGTCGAACAAACGTCCAAATCGGGCAAGTAGTTTTGGCGAAAATATAATTATCTTAAACTGTGGGCTACTTTTTGGTGATGCGTTAATTTCTTGGGGAAGTGTATATACAATCAAAGTTGGATAATAATTACCTTTTTGCCAGGATGAAGTTCCACGCAGAAACTCATTATGAATTTTTCAACTTTTATCCTTGTTCATTGTATTCTCTTTCCCCGCGTTATCTCTATTCCACGAGCAATTCAACTCATTAAAAAAAAAGCTTCATTAATCAAAAAAAGGGTGCAAGCATGATTGGCTTAATAACAAACGAAAGAGCTGAACGGATTTCGCAACAGAATGGTTGTCCTGTAGCTGATGATCACAAACTAATTTTGTACAATCTGAAATATATCCTGATATTTCTGCTATTTTTGATTTTATAAGTGCAATTTGGATGATTCCATCACTATACGATTTGATTCAGTCAAATTCAACCTGGAGGAAGAAGTCAACGGTATAATCTGTATAAATACTGTCTTCCGCATGCTTGGATACACCGATTATCAGAAATGACGAAACGAATGTTCAGAGATACTTTATTCTATTTTAATTTTAATATCCTTCTGACTAATTGTATTATTTTGTAAGAATCTTCGTCATATCCTCGGTAAGTTGATCAATTGATCATACATCAATAATACAAAAAATATATATTTGGTTAATTTCAGCACTCCACGAATCTTTCTTATAATTGAGTCATATGAAGACCCCCACAAATAGAAAGAAATCTCCCATAGTAATGTCCAGAACCAAGGAT